TTTTGGAGTGTGTGGCAACTGAAAAAGTTCTTATGGATTTAAGATCAATTTTCCTCGTTTCTTCACCATTTTTCTTGTACCCCATATCTATAGCTATATGTAACTAAGTTCACTTTGTTGGGGTTTGATGTAACCATACTTATTCTCATGTTTACATTCTAAGTTATTAATCCTAATTATTATTAAATATTATTTCTCTCTTATTTGTTTAATGTTTGTTATGGTTTGATCTCCTTTAACTTGATTTTGTGCACTTAAAGCGATTAAAAAATACTTGTAAATCTTTGAATTGAAGTATAACATCTAATGGCATTTATCTTTAAGAGTGGAAGAAATGTCATTAGTCCTTCATAGACTCTTGTTTTTAAAGCTAATTTCTTGACTAAGTTATCCAAGGAATTGATAACTTAGTCAAAAAGCTCAAACTATAACTTGTAAGAAATTAAGATTTGAGTATATTTGTGAGTTGGATGATGATTTATGAACTTATAACTAGATTAATACTTGCTTGGAACCATGAGAAGATTGTTTGGTAAAATCAAATCCTAATATTCACTATTGTGTTAAAATCAATTTTTGCATTTCAAGTATTCATAAAAATATCAAAAAGATTTCTTATAACATTTATCTCTAGTACTTTCTTTATCTTCACAATCAATCAAAATTTATATTTTTAATAGTTCAATTTAGTATAATTAATTATTTGTGACAAGTATTGTATAAGTTTCTTGGGGATGATATTCATACTCGTTATTAAACTATATGTACAAATTGGTAAATTTGCCAAGAAGACATTTCCTCTAGATCTATACATAATTAAAAATAATTAATTTAATTTACATAAATTAAGAAATATATATTAAATATATTTAATTTTTATAATTTCATCTAAAATATATTTTAGATAGTACTTTTATTTATTATCATAAGAATAATATTAGATAAGAACATTAAGTAAGATTGACTTCATTAAAATCTGTTTATATTTTAATTTAAAAATTTAAGCATTTATTTTTCTTATATATAATATCTACCAATTGTTTATTAAATTAAATAAATATTAGATTTAAAAGTAGTTTTTTTAAAATAAATGCAATATATGTTTTAGTGATTATTGTAAAAAGATGAAGTAACGTTTTTTGTTGGAGTATTTTACAAATGGAAGACGGTGTGGTTGGTATAGTCCTTAGGGGACAATATTCTAACAACTTATACACTTGTCGAAAACCAGTACCACCTCATTCATTGCCACTTTAAATGTGCCAAAACTGTAGAACGTTGCATGTGTTCTGGGAAGGGAAATAGTGTCATCTAGAAGCTTTACAAAGTCATGGATCAACCAAATACTGTGAGGAAAACGGGTATCATTAATGCTATATATATATATATATAATAAAAATTATATAATATTATTTTATGTATATCTCTCTATTATTAATAATATTTTTTTATATTATATAAATTATTATACGTGTGAAACTATTCATCAGATTACCACACACCACACCACACATGAAACGAGGGTGCATTAATTTCTAACTTATGTGACGTTAGGGTAGTTGGCAATGTTATGTTCAATGTTCAATGTTCAATGTTCAATGTTCAATGTTCATTCCTTGGAATTCAATTAATAACTCATACTAGTAGGGGTTATGGTGCTTGTGATTTTCCAACACTATCATAAATGATAAATCACCATCAAGCGTGACACAATAATTCAACTGGCCAAGTTATAAATTTGTCTAGTGTGAGCATTACATTGCACACATACTACTTTATATTTTCATTGGTAGCAGTCATTGAAATTTTGAGATGGCAGATAGCTACATTTCCTTACAAATATCTTTTGCTGTCAAAAGGAGCATCAAGTCTTTTCTTTTATCACCTTTGGTAACCGAATAAAGTTATTACCCTTCATTGTTCAAAGTTTACATACATGCATGTAGAATTGAGAGTCACACAAACATGTACAAATTTAGGTACATCAGTACATGTGCAATCATTTTTAAAATATATGAGAATGAAATAATGTACTACATACATTTATACAAGTGAAAAAAAAAAAAAAGTTACAATTTCATTATTATAAGAGTGTAAAAACGTACAATGTTCATCCATATAGGAGAGTACAAAAAACATGCAACATTCATTCATATAAAGGAATGAGAAAAAGGAGACATATAATATCTTTTATAATATAAAGTAACAAAGTTCTTTATATACTTTTTTTCACCTAAATCAAATAAATTTTAAACAATTCTATTTAAGTTATTTTATTTACTTATATTTAATAATTTTATTTTCTTTGAATTTTTTTTTATAAGACTCAAATCAGAATTATTGTTTGTTTCTTTTTTTATAAAAATCAATATAAAATATTTAGTGTTAATCATTTTTTTATAAGAAATATTCTTTATTAAAATTATTTCTCTTAATTCGATAAGTAATTAGTATTTGGTAAAATAAGTCTCAATAATATTGTAAGTAGTTTTAAAAAAAAAAACATAAATTTATGACAAATTTAATGTAATTAATTAAATTACACAACTTCTTCGATTCTAATGTATTAGATAATCGAGTTTCATTAAAAAAGATAGGATGAAGTATCAATCAGGAAACATTTAATAAAAAGAGATATTTAAATGCATATTTTTTTTATTAGGTATTGTATAGGAAGTATAATCGGTTTTGATGGTATCATAAATTATGAGAATTTGAATTTCATCGTTTATTTATTGGTTACTTTTCATTTTTTTTCCTTGTAATACCTCTATTTTAAACCTTTGGTTCTTTTAGTCTTTTAATGTTGTTTCAAAACTCTGATTAGTTCATAATTCTAATATATCTTTATGTAATTTTTCTCAATTATACTCTTATGTAATTTTTCTCAATTATAACCTTACATGGAGTTGAGTAATTAATTCTGGTAGTTTAAATGGAGCATGTTAATGTTTCTTGTGAGTGAATAAGTAATCAATGAGGGTAATTTAGTTTAAATATGTATAAATTAAATATTTTTTAATCTTTGTATAAAAAGTTAAAAAGAACCAATGTTTTGAAACGATAGAATATTATATTTGGGATAATAGTATTCAACCCACTTAAACTTTCCTTGTTTTACAAGTAAATATCCTAAACATTAAGGGTGCTGAAATGGATCAATCCAATCCCTTATGACTTACCTTGCTATCGACCCACAAAAATAAGATAGGGTAAATTGACCCACTTACCTTATGACTTTCCTTTTTTTGACAATTCAGTTACTATGCACTGGAAAAGAGTTAAGAATAATAATCTATAGATATCATGCAACAATTATGTAAGCAATATTGTTATGATAGACTCATATCCAAACTTTTATATCTTGACAAGAATGCTAGACTTCTTAGTTTAAGTAATGACATCTAAGAAATCATATTGTTAGGGATTGATATCCCAATTTGGCTGTTGATCTAACATGTGTAAAAAGGTCATTTTAGTCTGGTATGCCAAATCACTTAGATTGTTCACCGTATATTGTAGGAGATTCTCGTAAGTAAGTGCGTGATGACACATTAGATAAGGTGTATGTATATGATGTGTGATTTGGTGTTATTCATATGCTTTGGGGATAATATTGTTGAATGATATGGTTATGGTGTAAATTTGATATGCTTGAGTTTTTGTCTTTCAAACTTTATGATGCCATGCTCAAGTGTTTTGTTGTGTTGATATATTTACTTCTATACTTGTTTTATATTTATGCTTTTGAAATTTAGCCTATTCTTCCATGTTTCTAGGTGGTTGGACTACGGTGATTATATTTTTCATGGAAAGAGTAGGGTTAGTTGGACGTAAGTTGTGAGTTTTGTGAGGCCATGTTAACAGATGACTTACGGTTGATTTTGTTAGGTTACTTTAACAAGAGTTGTCAAAGTGGGGGCAAAACCTGTGAGCCAATTTGGTGCATCACGAGTTTGAGCCAGGTTGAGCTAAAAAAATTTTAGCACGTTTTGATTATAATAAAAATTTGGCTCGACTCACTACAATCGAGTCAATCGATGGTGAGCCTTACGAGTTGGCTCACCTATTATATATATATATATATATAT